TTTAATATTATAGACAACAAAAAAGATGAACTATAATTTAAAGTTTGGTGGCTGGCTTTATAGAAATTTGCAATATCTCTCTATTAAGGACAGGCACAATCTTTATTAAAGTTAGTGATCTGCGCATGCTCAGATGTCAAAATAAGAGCGGCACTAATAGTGACTGACCTTAAGTGAAATTGCAATAACTCTCTAATGAAGCATCGAATTCTCGTAGGGTGGCAGCTTCACCGCCACCAGAAAATTTCAATCCATCCCTGGCTACGCCGACCGACATAGACACAGCTCACCTACTCTGTCAAGACGTTTCGCGTGTATATAACTTTTTGAATTGCGTACAAGTTAGCGGGTACCTAGACACTGTGTTTCCTATTTAGTTAAATAGTCAGTTGACTAACATTAATCTGGAAGTGTTTTTTCACTGTATCATTGGTATCTTCTTAGATTTGGCTACAGGCCAAGGCGATACTGTAACTGATCAAAAGTTGTTAGATATTTTTGAAGATATTAGAATCAGAGACATAATTTTGAATTTATCTAAGTCATATTTATATAGTTTGTTCAAATCGAACAATTTATTAACGAACCAAAAATAGTAGTTCCTCAAGGTACTGTACTTGGGCCGGTTATGTTTCTAATCTATATAACTGAGTGCTTGAACTTTCCTAGCGTTTTTTGCCGATGACACAATAGTAATGTACGTTGATGAAAATTAGGGAGAAGTTAAAAATCTTCGGGAAATAATTTTTTTATATATTATAAATTATAAACAACAAAATGATCTTTTGAATTTTCTTAGCAAGTCCTACAAGAACGACTAATATTCTGAGATGTTAGACTACAATATTGTGCTTCTATAACGTAAGGTATTTTTGAATAGCATCTTCAACCCATAATACTCTTAATATAATTCATTCTCTTACGAATGACTCCTGAAGCTATGAAAGCAGATCTTTGTGTCGAGGAAAGACTGCTATTATTATCTATCCTAAAGCTCTGGGACAACTTACTAATGGCTATTGGTTTGATATTTGACTAACAGATCAGAAAAACCCAACCTACCATTTACTGCATAGTCGGCACATTTCAGCAGCACTTAGACCAATGGTTTCTAGGTATTTGTTTTGTCACCCACACCCGTATAATATACCTACTTTTATACTCAGCAAGTTATCCCAAATACTCAGAATCTTCAAACCAACCTCTAAAATTGTACCTATTTGTTTAAGTAAGTTCATGAAAGATGGTAGTGGGTTTTACCTTCTATAATACGTAAATCGTAAGCTTAAAAATACAAATGTTTCGTTTAACTATTAATGGCGATATAATTGCTCACTTATGACACACTTAAGTATTCCATGAAGACCAAAATTGGTATAAGGTCAATGAAATAGCTGAAATAGTAATGTCAAAAGACTAGTTTAATCACAAACTACTTATACTTACATTACCAGTTCCATATTAATGTGGGAACACTTCCCATATTTATTATATAATGATACCTACTTAAAGTTCATAGAAACGATTTAAAAATGCGAAAAAAAGTATTCACGTTATCGGTAATCATATTTAATTTTTGTTATTATACGGGGTGTCCCAAAAGTAGGTGATTTAAAAATCTAATAACTTCTGACTTGTAAGTCTTTTTAAAATGTTTGTTTCAGATGTGCAAACTATAGAAGTTTGGGAGATTTATTATGAAGAAATTCACCGTTGCTCAAAGAGTCGCTATTGTGGAACTCTTTTTTGTAAAACATAGATAAATTACAGAAACTCGAAGAGCGTTTCGCAGACTTTTCAATGCAAGAAATTCACTCTCGGAAATGACTAACGTATGTAACATAAGTTTTGAGATATTTTGTAATTAATTTTTATCACTTTAAAAAGATTTAGTCTAGTTACCATGGCCTGGAAAATATTTAAGTAGGCCTTGTTATCATAAATATTGACAGTTGTCGAAAAAATTTTGTTACAAGGCGTACAAAATTGAAATACGAAAAAGCATCTATAATTTATTTGGCCGAATGCAAAATGCGGATACTATAAACATATTTCAAGGACCTAATATCTCCAGTGCAATTATTTAGCGAAAAATAAAAAAAAATTGATGAAGAAATACCTTGTTTGAACGGAGAACGATGGATTCTATAAAGAGAATTTCAATGCAGCTTCGAATAATGGGAAATTTAAAAGAAAAACTAAATTTGAAGTTAAAATTCTGGTGTGGTGCGCCATTTCTTCGGCTTGACTATCGAGGTAATATTTAGGACATGTTAGAGGAGAAGCCATCACTGCAGGTCTTTATGTACAAAGATGTTTCCCTAAATTGTTACGATTTATAAACAACCATCACAATAATGATGAAACATGTTTAGGCCTGGTCTAGCATCTGGTCTCTATGCCAGGTAATCCAGAGATTGGTTGAAAGCCAATAATGCTCCATTTGTACTTAGAGAAAATAATCCACCTAATACACTCCAAGCACGCCCCATCGAAGAGTTTTCGGTCTTATTAAGCAGGAAAGTTTATGATAATGGATGGGAGGCAGAAAACAAATAATAAAGAAGGAGCATTTTCTATAAGATTCAGAAATCGATGTTGCTACCATCCAATCACTTATGAGGTGCTTGACAACAAAAATACGACGGACTCAAGGCCATGGGCCACTAGCTGCATTATAATATATTCTTATTGTTAAGAAATGGTGTTTATCGTTAACCGTTTACCTAATTTAAGTAAACTTATAAATTTTAACTTGATTTTTGTATCTAAACTGATGTTACATACGTTATACGCAATTGAAAACGAAAGAGAATTGATCGATGATGTTCGAAATAGATTTTTATAATAGTGACTCTTTGGGCAATGGTGCATTTATCCATAACAAATCTCCCAAGCTTCTAGTTTCCAAATTTGAAACAAAACTTTTAAAACGCCTTACAACTCAGAAGTTATTAAACCTAGTGATTTTTGGGACACCCTGTATTTTTTAATGTAGTTTCATTTATATTACAAAAATGATCTATCACCACAATAATTATTTCATATTTACCTACCTACCTACTATGGTAGACATAATATAGAAGATAGACTCATCGCCTTTAATAATGTTTGCCTTTACAATGTTAAGACTAGACGGTCAGATCGTTGCGACCAAGGAATATTTGCGACAATGATCGCGTCCAATATCAAGCGACCAATTTTCCGTTTCAAAAATCGAGCAAGTAGCAGCTTCCTTATATTTGTCAGTCGTTAGTGCATTACCTCTCATCTTACATGATTTATCTTTTTGGTTGCAGCGTTTTATTGGCCATCTCTAAATCGCGCAGGTTTCGTTGGGCGTGATCAGTAGTGCGGTTTGTATAATTATCATGAATGGTTCTAGTATGGAATAATAAAAATACATTTACAAATAAAAAATGTGCTAATTGCTTTAAAGTTGAAAATTAGAGACGGAGAGATATTGATTTCAAAAAGTGTGTCCAATCAACAGATGAAATCAAGATGTCAATTATATGTCATTTCATAAATCACAATTAAAAAATTATAATTTTTGACCGTTAGTTTGTCTGCAGCCGTCATCAAAAGTAGTTTGGGGTGTGTACGTACCCCACCGTGCCATCAACGTCGTGTTTTCGTAAATTGGAGTATTTTTTGTCCTTTATTATAATAGTATTGTTTACTTAGCTAATAATGAATATATGGGTCCGTTTATGCACGCACTGTATAACTATTAGGTTAATTATTTATAATTGAATAAATAAATATAATATCAGTCCTATTCTTGATAAAAATATAACATTAAGATAAGGTTAATTTTATTTAATTTGTTGTGGTTACTTCTATATTTGTGTTTTTCACTTCAAGTCATCGGCCTATTGTATAAAAATAAGTCAATTAATATTAACCTGTCTCACCCTGAAAAAATTCCTGCGTACGTCTAGGACGTCACGTATTTTTATTGACTCCTATACACTATCGGCCATCATGTGATCACAAGCGAGTACCATCGTGTAGAGGGCAGTGTTGCCAGAATATATTTTTGTAATGTACCAGATTTGTCAAAAAAATCAGATTTTTCGAATTGTGAAATGGCATTAACGAGCAAAAAAAAGAGGTTTCTGGAGAACACGAACACAACAAACAAGGAAAACTCCAACAATATATTTTACACGTCAAATGGAAACATACGCTGAAAAAAGAGAAAGTACTAGAATTTGCTTCAAGTGTACTAGAGTACCAGATTCTCAGATAATGTTCTAGATCTAGTACAATTGTACTAGACTGGCAACATTGGTAGAGGGTATATTTGTCAGTGATCGGCCACGATTGGTAGTGATCGTCTGTAATGGATGAGTTATCGGTTTTCCCACACAGATCAAATGTAATCCCTGTAGTACTGTAGTTGCTTTTGTGTGATACCACGATCCCGATCTGTTAAATTATTTTATATGTGGTAGATACTGGAATCCAGTCTTGAATATTTTACAATCTTATTAACATTGTTTATGTGATGATTGTATGCACATATCACATAAGCCCATTTGGTGTAGGACAATAAAAGGCCCAATAACTGCTACACTCCAATTGTAATGATGGCTATTTAACTTTTGTAATTAAAAGGCCGGCATATATAGGTAACTACAGCCGACAGTCAGGCCGAAGTCACTTAGCTATCAAATCCAGCCAGTAGGCCTTATTTTTCCCTTTAATGTCTAGAAAAAATATATTGGCAAGTAATGGCCTATTGATGGGTGGGAAGTTAACGGGAAATTGCAGGCCTTTTACTATAATAATAATGACTGCTGAATAAAGGCCATGTGCCAGGAACATGGCCTAACAGGCGGTTAGGTAGTGCTTCTTTGAGTTCTTTGACCAGTAGTATACCGTTTGACTATAAATTCTATACTAAAACAAAAGGCATTCTAGCATAGAATATTGTGTAGACATTTTATTTATTTCAGCTATATAATATAATAATAGATAAAAAGTGTCTTGTACAAAAAGTATATTCATAAAATATTCTAAATAACATATAAAAGTAAGAAATTCCCATGAATACTGAGTGGATACCAACAAACCGAGACGCCAGAGTACATGTCCACTCGTTGAGTATATAGCGAGCGATCATCGGTGTCTCCATTTATGAACTCGGGACAGAGCCCTTCCTGGACGCATATTCGGAAACCGCCGATACGTTAGACACTCGGAAGAGTTCGATGCCGTGAATGACAAACTCGTACAATCCCGTCGTGTTAGAACTAATACGTTGGCGATTTATGAAATAAGAAATGTGTGTTTACTGAACATCAATCATCACTCATCACAGGACAATTTTAGTTTTAGTTTCCCTTTTCTATTTCCTAGGTATATGCAAATCTCTATTCAGATTATTTTTTAATTTATTGTTGTGTAAAAGGAAAAGAACTCTAGGTACACTAAAAAGAGGAAAGTATATATCAGTACAACCTAGATACGTTCATTAGTCGCAGAAAGACAATACTGGGAGAAAAAAAGACAATTTGCAGTGGAAGAAAACTAATTGAAATAGAGTTACAAAAGCACTTCATTCGTTGGCGACGAATGTCGAAAATAATGTGGGATTAGGAGGTAATAAGTCAAAAATTAAATTAAATTTAAAGAAGTAGTTTAAATCAGTATTTAGACAGAGGAAGTTAGCCAAATATGGAATATCGTTTTGTTTTTTGTTTACATATTAAATTCAGAATATCTTCTTAATTAACATCCCTTATTTTTTTGTATAAATTCTTTACATCTTTGAAAACAATAACTTATTATTCATAATGTTAAATCTATTATACAGGAGTCATAGAAAAATATTTTATAGAAAATTATATTTTCGTACCTAATACGAAATAAATCCCTTCAAGAAAAAATAAAACAGGACCTTTACACAAAACGTTTTATTACTTTATGCTTCATGAAAAAACAAATCAGTTAACATAAGAGAATTGCATCGGATATATTAGGAGAACGTATTTGAACTCTTTTAGAAAAATATATTGTTTTCTACCCCTATAACAGTCTACATGGCACCAACCTAAACATGTCTTATAGTGTATTCACTACCCCTGACATAGCTCCATTGCAATAGAAACACGACACTATTCCATATTAGGTACATCGTCATTTTAATTTTTAGCTTGTTAAAATAAGTTAATGGTATTCCATTTTAGGAACATATTCCAAATTTGGCATTACTCCTCTACATTAAATATTCTTCTCCATAAAAATAAAAGTTAATTTTTAAATGTAAAAATTAAGTACGCGACAATAATTTCAAAAGTATATACTTTTGCTAAATATATAATAGACTTTTTTGAATTTGAATTAATTTAACTAATATAAATATCCAATTGTACATAAATGAATCGATAACTCGTATTCGTAAATCGCCGACGTATTAGTCTAACGTGTCGGAGTTTTCCGAATATGCTTCCTGGACTATTGGAGTTGGGTCTGAGCAGTTAAATGTCTTTTTGACTTTTACCATGCTTTTATCCAATACAGTTAATTACCCTCCATAAGGAATCATCAACCAACATAATGCTTGGCCACTATCGAGAGGCCAAAAGTAGGCTTTTATTTTTTAATCGTCGCATTCATTTTTCCTTCAATTACAGCAAAAGGCCAACAATATCCCGGCAATTAATTGTTTGTTGGGAAATAGCAGTAGCTGCAACCAACTCGTCATCAAGTTCAATCTTGAACAATGGACGAAAAGGAAAAGAACCCGGGCGATGGTGTGGATGATAGCACAATGATGGAATCAATGATGGCCCATTATGCAATGGCTCGTTATGGCCGATCGTGTATAGAATCCTTAAAAATATGATTTACATAAGAAGAAAGTGTATTTGAAATAAAATTTATTTTGCAACTGAATCAATATGATTCAGATTATAAAAAAAAAATCAAAAATCCTGATTAAAATCGTCCATTGCGGCCAATTCTAAATTTTAAATAAAATGGAACTTCTTAAAACGTATCTGTATTAAAATAAAGCGTATAAAAGTAAATAAACGTACAATTATCTATTTATCAATATCGATAAGTTGAAGTATCGAGACCATGACCCCGCATTTTCTCATCTATCCAGTTCCTGAATTTCGCAACGTTGACGTACACTCCAGGCGTACCATTTTCACCGCAACCAATTCCCCAGGCTACAATACCGGCTTGAATGTATCTCTCACCATTGGGACTGACAGGGACTACTAACGGACTACCACCATCACCTTTGCACGTGTCTTTACCCGGTTCGCCACCAGCGCAGATAAAACTGTCGTGAAGCTCAAAGAATCTGCCTAGACGCGTCGTACGAAGCTTCTCTTGACAAGCAGCTCTCGAAACTACCGGTAAATCAATTTTCTTAAGTATGACTTGGTATTTTCCTTTTTTACCAAATTGATCTTTACCCCATCCAGTTGCATAACCTCTTCCGGTTTCAATAACGTCACCTTGTGGAGGTAAACATATGTTAGCGATGTGTGGAGCTGCATCTAGTGGGGTTCTCAAAATCAGAACTGCTATGTCATTAAACAATGCGCCTGCGTAATAGTTAGGATGTATCTCGATAGACTGCAATTCTCTATCTTGGTATGGATATATTTCTTTTTCGTGTTGGGTATCCCATTCACCAGCTCTCACTTTAAACGTTTTTCCCTTTCCAGCAACGCAATGAGCGGCTGTCACCACAGCTTGAGGATTGATCAGAGCTCCACCGCATTGGTAGACGTTCAATTTCACGGGATTGCCTTCGATCTCTTCCTCTTTCAAAATGGCCACCATCCAGGGAAATTCGCCGAATTGAGCTTCTCCATCATTTGCTCCGGTTATTCTGAAACCGGTGCCCTTTGTGTTTCGATACCCACAACCTGTTGGTACTGTGGGAGGTGGTGGTGTTACGGGTTCTTCTAGTGTATCGCCTTTCTTACAGCATACCTCGATGTATTGATTGCCGCAGGGACCTTCGTTTATCCTAAAAGATAAAAAGATAAACACATAAGTACATATTACAGTAAAAACAGTTATATACATACACCGTGTCCCACGTAAGGCGGGCATTACAACTTTATGGAGAATAAATTAATTTGTATTTTCGCCATTTTCTGAGTATACATAATCGAATATGCTCTTTTGAATTAAATAAAATGAACTCTGTGCAACTTCCGGTTATACCGGAAGTGACCACTAACTTCGTTATTTTAAAGGGAATACCCCATATTTTTTTTTAATTTTAGATTCAGCATGAAATTCTGTAAACAACGATGCCCCATTTGCCTATTCTAGTTATAGCGGATTTGGCGTTATTCAATTTTTTTCTACATTTTTAGTCGCCGGTAGACATTTTCTTAAAGTCGTCTATCTCAGGTACTATATCTATCAGATACTTAAAATTTTAACCAGAGGTAGTAGATGGGATGTACTTCTTGAGAATATTTAGTTATTCATTATTTGTTGTACGGGGTGTTTGCAAATTATTTTTAAAAATGAAATTTTTTAAACATAAAAAACTTTTTTATTTTAAAGGGAACACCCTATATATTTTTTAAATTTAGGATTCAGCATGAAATTCTGTAAACAATGATACCATATTTGCCTATTCTAATTATAGCGGATTTGGCGTTATTCATTTTTTTTTAATTTTTAGTCGTCGCGCCGGTAGGCATTTTCTTAAAGTCGACTGTCTCAGGTACTATTTCTGTTGGATACTTGAAATTTTAGCCAGAAGTAGTAGATGGGATGTACTTTTAAAAACATTTACAGTTTTCTGCAACAAAATATGTCGTTTAAAAAGTTTAAATTTTTTTAATGATAAGGTACATACTAACTTAAAACAATTTTTATTAAAAGCACATGGTTTAAAAAAATCATTTTATCACATGTTCAAAATGCCCCCGTTAGCTTCTAAACATTTTAACAATCTTTTTTCAACATGATTAGTTGTTGCTTTACGAATCATTTCACCATCTAACTCGTTAAAGGCATTCCGAACTCTTTGCTCTAATTCTTCTTTAGTATTAATTTGGGTAGAGTACACTAAATTTTTAATATGACCCCATAAAAAAAATCAACAGGAGTTAGATCTGGCGATCTTGCAGGCCAAAGCCAAGGACCATTTGGATCTATCCATCGGTCTTCAAAGAGTGCTGTAATTTCTTGATTTACATAGTATGTTGAATGTGCTGGGGCACCATCCAACTGGTACCAAAAATTATTATTTGGTAGCTGGTTTAAAATGTCGGCAACTACTTCTCTAAGAATTCTAATGTATCTTTCTGAGATCAGTCTTTCATTATAAATGTAATAAAAAGCTCTTCCAAAACCGATCACTGCAAACACATTAAAACTAAATTCGTACTGAAATTGTGCTTCACGATAAAAATGTGGATTTTCGTTTGCCCAGAAATGACATTGCTTGCGATTGATGATCCCTTTACGTGTAAATTTCGACTCGTCTGACCACAAAATTTTGTTTAAAATCTCGGGATCTTCTTGAATTCGTACCAATAACCATTCGCATAATTCAGTTCGTCTTATTTGATCACCATCTCGCAACTCATGAACTTTTCTTTGTGCATAGGGATGCCATTTATTTAGTGCTAAAATTCGTTGTATTGACCCTCGACTAATATTTAAATTATCTTGAGCCATTCTAATGGAGGCGTGAGGATACGCAGTAAAATACCCTAATACGTTAATTAGATTAACTTCTTCATCTCGGACATAATGTTGACGGTTTCTTCCCGGGTTTTGTTTAAAATTATTCAAAAAGTTAGCTTCGATTCTATCAAATTTTTGTCTGTTCATTGGTTGGAAATGAGGGTATCGTTCATTAAACATGCGGCAGGTTCTACTTTTGATTCGATTACATTCTCCATGAATGTAAAATAAATTAAGAATATCTTGGTTGGTATATTCTTCAATATTTTCCATATTTTCCATATTTTGAACGCAAAAAATACACAACTTAAATACATAGAAATATGACAATTCAGTTTGTTGACAGATTGTTGTTTAGCATATTTCCACGGCATACTAAGATAAAAAATTAAAATGTAAAACTACTATATTATGTAGGTACATGCGTAAAATTTAAATTTAAATTTTCTTAAAATTGGCGAGAGATAATTATAGGGAATTAATAGTGCAAATGAAGATCAATTAAGAATAATTTTCTGAACAAAATAAAATAAAAATATACAGGATTTTCCATTTAAAATAAAAAAATTTTTCATGTTTAAAATATTTATTTTTTAAAATAATTTCCAAACACACAGTCGAACAAACGATGTACAAGTAAATTTAAAAAAGCAAATGTCTGCCGGCATATAAAAGTTTATAAAAAACTGAATAACGCCAAATACACTATAATTAGAATAGGCGAATGGGGTATCATTGTTTACAGAATTTCATGCTGAATCTAAAATTTAAAAAATATATAGGGTGTTCCCTTTAAAATAAAAAAGTTTTTTATGTTTAAAAAATTTCATTTTTAAAAATAATTTGCAAACACCCCGTACAACAAATAATGAATAACTAAATATTCTCAAGAAGTACATCCCATCTACTACCTCTGGTTAAAATTTTAAGTATCTGATAGATATAGTACCTGAGATAGACGACTTTAAGAAAATGTCTACCGGCGACTAAAAATGTAGAAAAAAATTGAATAACGCCAAATCCGCTATAACTAGAATAGGCAAATGGGGTATCGTTGTTTACAGAATTTCATGCTGAATCTAAAATTAAAAAAAAATATGGGGTATTCCCTTTAAAATAACGAAGTTAGTGGTCACTTCCGGTATAACCGGAAGTTGCACAGAGTTCATTTTATTTTAATTCAAAAGAGAATATTCGATTATGTATACTCAGAAAATGGCGAAAATACAAATTAATTTATTCTCCATAAAGTTGTAATGCCCGCCTTACGTGGGACACGGTGTATATTTAGGAATTGCTTTACAGTAATAACAGTTTGTTGTTTAAAGGCCCCCAGTGGAATTTTGGCAAAGGAGTGAAAAGCCAACCCTATAAATTCAGTTAAAAGTAGTTTTATTCAATTCATATTAGTACATTGCATTGCTTAGGAACATAATATACAAAAAGTTACTAACCTTATATCTATAACTCCCTCTCCATTTTTATTAATAGTACCATTATTACAAAGATAATATGCTACACAGGCACAATCATCTCCGCCTTGTCCTCCTACTTCTCCATTATTACTTACTATGGTGGGATCAAGATTAATACTAGGCGCTGACGTTACTGGTGCCGAGGTACTTGGTTGTCCCTGATTTGGTCTGGTAAAGACTTGATCTATTAAACTGTCTAAATCGGCTCCTTCTTGGGCTCGTACACAAGCAAACAAGTAACAACAAATAAAAGTAACAGCGGCTGACCGGGACATCATTGTGACTAAAATAAAAAAAAATTACATGTAAAAAATATTGATTATATTTTATTGTTTTTTGTAAACATTGTACCATTAGTATTTAGTCTTAGTGAAATTTTTGTAGTAATGATACTAGAATAACAAAATTGTAATTCATCACTTTAAAATGCCAAGAAAAATATTCGATTAAATTACTATTTGAATATACCGGGTGTTCAAATTAAAGTGTTAAAGTTAAATATCGCCGAAAATATGCATTTTAGAAAAAAAGTTTCAGACAAAAGTTTTATAGTTTTTTGAGGGAAACATTTTGGCTAAATTCATTTTTTTATAGCTGACCATAATATGGCCATATCGAGGTGGACTTTGTTTTAAATTGGAACCCCATTTTTTGCATATTCTTAAAGTACATAAAAAAATAAGAAACTTTTGAGGAAAATACGTTTTTTTTATTGGACTTGAAAATTTTGCTGGGCGAAAACAAAGTTGGCCATATTATAGTTAGCTATAAAAAACGATTTTAGACAAACATTTTTCCCCACAAAACTATAAAACTTTCGTCTGAAACGTTTTTTTTAAAGGCGGTATTTAGCTGTAACACTTTAATTTGAACACCCGGTATAAGAAAATATAAAAAACTGCTTATTAAATACTCTGTGTGATTTGGAAAATGTTTCCTTCAATTCATCTTTGATTAGGTTATCAAGATTTAAACATTCAATATTTTTTCTATAAATGAACCCTCCCAAAAGAGTACGTCACTGTGTATTGTACTTATTCCCTTTCTGCGCCTGGATTGTCATGGGAACAAAATATAAAATATTATATTGAAAGAATCGGTTTTAAAGTAATCGAAAAATATGATAATATTAATAAATTCCCCAAACAAATTCCAATATTACCTCTATGAAATAATGAAAATATTGTATCATTAGAAAATGCAGTGTTGCCAACATTTGCGAATTTTCCTATATCATGGGAATTTTTTTAACAAAAAAATTAAAAATAACTTAAAATATGGGGATATTTTGTACTGCACGTTTATTTTGGGTCTCCTTAATATGCCCACAATCTTTTACTATTTTTTTATTTGTGATTTTCAGTGTTACTACTAGATCCTATTTCGACCCAATGCTGGACGCTGAACACGAATACATTGATCAGATTTGGACAGAAGAAGACTTTTTAGCACCCCAAAGATAAAAAGAAGAGGACCAGGCGACCTTTTTTCTTAGCTACCCAAAGATCAATAAAATAAAACAACAACAGAGAAATCATGTATTACGTTTATGTTGCTACGGTTCAGTAAATTATGTATTACATTGCTGGACAATAATGGCGTTTTTTCGGACAAATACGGCGTTTTGCTGTACGTTTGCTGTACAAGATCAAATGCTGGACAGACTTTGAAAATGCTGTACAATACAGCGGAATGCTGCACGTATGTTATTCGCGATTCAAGTTAAGTGATACGCCCTTCGGAGGAAATTTGTAGAAGGTCCCTATAAGTAGGATATCGTTCAGTTTTGCCAGAAGACCTTTTATTTAAGAATCAAAATTTGTGTATAGTAATTTGTAATCTTACTCTATATTTGAAGACTACAGGGGAAAAAGGATGAGGGTCACAATTTCAAAGTTTTGAGTAAAACGCATTTTAATATTCAAACCCTTGTATTTTCCTATTGTAAACTTTTTCGGAAATAACAAATTTTTAGGTAGTTAGCCTGTTTATTGTCTTTCGAAAAAATAACTTGTTACTGATTTTTTTAAATATAGGTGTCCGAACAAAAAAATAAAATGAGGTTATGTACATAAAGTCAGGGGAAAAAAGATGAGGGTCCACAAAAAAAATATAACTTAAGTCGCATGGTAAATTCTCAAAGTAAAGTTGAGCTTCTAGACTACAAAAAGGTTTTAATTCCTGCAAGTTCTGGCGCTTCTTAGTATTAATGGGAATACTGTCTTCATATTTCAAATCTGGAAGTTTAAATTGCCCTGAAGGTAGATCTGAAAATGCAAGGGCTGCATTGCCTCCATTTTTTGATTTATTTCTAACTAATTTCCCTTTTTTGAACGTGGCCTGTTTTTTCTTTGTTGGTACTACAACACTTGAGATGAATCCTCCATTGTAAGAGTCGCGATGATCGATCATTCTGGGTTCTTCTTTTTTTATTAGTAATTCCCTTATTGGGCGACTTTCAAAGGGACACTTCAGGACGTAATAACTTTACAGATGATCAGTCCAGCTTCGAAAAATCTTTTGGTCTTCACAGCTAATCACTTTAAAAGGGCTTGGTTTAACGCGGGCATTACGAATGTGATCATCCCAACCAGAGGGAAGCTCGACATAAGCTTTGGAATTAATTAAGCCCATATTGCGATCACATTCCATGTAGCTGTGTCCTCTAATAGGAAAAACCATTTTTACACACTGAAGTCGACCTACTTTGTAAACAATATAATGAAGCAGTCGGAACAAGGTATAATTTTTGTTCTGTCCACAACACGAATCACAAAAAATAACAAGTTCTTGACCTTCTGGATTCAATTCATTGATAATGTAATGAAACAGAATAGAGGCTACTTCATCTGATCCTTTCTTGGCCGCTGTTTCTGTACAAGTATAAAAAACGCCTCACCGCTGGCCAAAACGTGAATGTTGAATAAGTAGAACGCTAATTGCCTTTTGTAGTATAAGTCATTAGTGCTAATGTTGGGCAGTTGCAAGTTTTTTTGATAGTCCATGGCAATGGCTTCAATATGACCGTATTGTTGAGCTCTCTTGCGTTCGGATCGTTTTCTTTGATAAAAAGACAGCCTTCTTAAGATGAAGTTGTTCATTCATATCTAGTGTAGTGATGGGGGTACTCGAGTACAGGAATCGGATAATACCCGATTCCTAAAGGAATCGGTAGTATTCGGATACTGACGACCAGCGTCGGAATCGATTCTGATTTTTAAATATTAGACGATACACCTGCGAATCACGATCCGTCTTGTACCGCTGCTCACTGCTGACGTGCTGACTGAAACCCAATTAAAATATGGAGTCGAGTCGGGTTCGAGGTTCGAGACGCTGGAATCGCTGATAATTGGATCGGTGTCGGTGATCGTCGTTATACTCGGTTGATGCAAGTACTCAGTACTCGGTATTCAATAAAATACCCGATTCCGTGAAGTACTCGATTCTCGAAAGTATCCGATTCTTCCCATCACTAATCTAGTGCAGATGAATTTGAAGCCTGTGATGGATTTGTATTTTTTGCCTTATATTCATCGCAAGTGCTGCATGTATCACTACGCGGGTAACCAAAACTGATGTTGAATTTGTTTACAAAGATGGAGCGATATGATTCATATGAAATTGACTTCGTCGGATGTACTTCCTTAAACATCTAGAACATTTTTTTATGTTCAACTTCTCTGGCAAGTAGATTTTTTTAGACTTATGAAGGCTATAGTGTGACTGTCTACCTTTAAATGACCGAATATGACCACAGACCGCATCGTTTGTTTTTTATCTAGCTTATTTGGCCGATTGGAATGTCGACCCCGGCAATCTTCACCAGCATGTCCATCTTTAACAAGCTTTTGTTGATTATTTTGAAGGCGCTTTGCTGATATTCCATGTAGTGAGAGCAAATAGGAATTTCTTGGGTACCGTTTTCCCGCATCACTCTAACCTTAAAACAAATTAACTACTGCAAAGAAAGTAACGACAGTAAAATAATATGTATTTCCTCATATTTGTAGGAGAAAGAATGATAGATTACTTCTTCATCGTTAGCTTTTCTTTGGCGACGTCTTTTAACTGGTTCGTGCGAAATGAGACCTGCTAAATAGAAGCTCTGCTCATTATGTGATTTCATTTCATTGAAGTTTCTTATAATCGCCAAACGGTCTTGAACACCAATAACATTGAAACATTTTAACCTTGAACACTGACAACTGCGACCGGTTTCATGTGTTTGCAATCTTAGTTTTTTCGAGGAATCAAAAACACGTCCGAGTTTTGGTCTTTTTTTAGTTAGGGACTGCACATCACAATCAGCCATCTTAAAAATTCCGTGGAAAAACACGTGTACCACAATACTCGCACGTAACATAATTGGGATTAAAACAAAAGCGAACTAGTTCACTTCGCTGCTAAACTTATATGTACTGAGTGTACTGGCCGAAGGCCGAAGGTCACAGGCAAGCCTGTCTATCGTGGAAAGTTTTTGGACTCTCAACCGTTTTGCGTAAATCGAGTGGACTGTCATCCTTTTTCCCCTGTGCGGTATAAATTAAACTGCATTTTTACATGGTACTCTCATCTGTTTTGCTCTTTATAGTGTGATAGATAGAAAGTAACGGCGGTTGGTCGTGATTTGCCGTGTTATCTCAAATCTTAATTTTTTGGACCCTCATCCTTTTTTCCCTGTTGTCTTCATTTATTTAAAGATTTTTTTATAAAACCGATTTATTATATTGATTTTTTAAACTTTCAGTTCATTTATTAATTTTGTTTCAAAATCAATTCATCATTTGGCAACATTGGCGCTCGTGTTCATTGTTTACATTTTAATTTGTATCAATTACAATTTGAGTTTTTTCTTACTTTATAGCTTTAAATTTGTTTATTTCTTATAGTATGTGATAGTGTTATCAAAAATGAAATTTGCGAAAAAGTCCCCAGCAAATTGCAATCTATAATGGTGTTAATGTCAAAATCAAAAATGAAGTATTCATTATTTTCCAAGTGCAAGTCGTAAAACTTTGTTTTTTACGATAAATTGATATCTATCTACAAATTCATAATATTGATATTTTGCAAAACTTTTATTTAGAATCAAACTGTAATCTGATTTGTGACGGTTACCATTTACATGTATACAAAGTACTACATAATTCACTTCATAATATAAGAATAAGTCTAGTAAGATTTTTAAATAAGTTCATCAATAATAAACGTTTGGCACCTGAAATGTGCTTTAAACCACATAATAAAACATGTCCTGGGTTTGAGAATCCACATCGGATG